CCTGTCGGCTTCTTCGTCGCACTGAACTCTTCGCTGTTTGGTGGCGTTCATCATATCAAAGACACAACTGACCTCGCTTGACCCAATCTGGCAACCTGACGATTCATCGGGATTCTACGGGTATTATCTCTATATTCTCCCTCCCGATATTGTAACCACAAGTTCCTTTTTACCCACTGATAGTTATAATTTTCTGCCCACCATATGTTTACAATTCTGCCTGCCCACTTCCAAAAATGCATTACCCACACCCACTCCCCAAAATATTAAGTCAAATTTTTCTCCCTCCCACTGATTAAATTAAATTTTGCCTGCCCACAGAAAAACGTTCGCGAACACTTTTTGCACGAACAGCTTCGTTGACTGCACCTGCAGAAAGTTGTGATGACTTACGTTGTTTTACTCTGAGTATCAGTTAACAACTGACTATTGGTCTTTCTCACAGTTTTTGAACTAGATTTAGTTTTTAAATCTTTAACAGTGTAGCTATATCTCCGTGAACTGGCCGGTTAGCTCAGTTGGTTAGAGCGCGGTGCTAATAACGCTGAGGTCGTGGGTTCGATCCCCATATCGGCCACTCAAAATTTTGTTTCAATGTTACGTTTCCTGTCGTTCAAATAGGGGAAAAATATTCCCAAAAGTTTATAAGTATCTTTGAACTGGCCAATACGTAACGCATTTTGATGTGTATATTTTGCGAAATATCAGAGAAAATGGTCTGTTTAAGTGGTTATGATTCAGAGAGTCATGATTCTTTTGTATTTTTTTTTTATAAACTGGACGTTTAAAAGCATGTTTGTGTAAAGTCATTTCATCCGGATAAAATAGTGCAAAATAAAAAAACTATTGTGTAAATTATGTGATGATTATAAATATTATATTAATTTCACTTGTATCACTCCATTGGCCTTTATGAATGATATATATATCCGTCATATAAGATGATATTTATGTGCGATGATTTCGCTGAATTGTCTAAAATTCTGACATTGGGGAATATTCAAAAGTACTTTGCTATTACCAATAAATGGTAACGTGTCATACAAAGAGAACAAAATTTAGTGAAATCTGTGATTGAACTGTATAGCTTATTGCTCAGTTCAAAGTTGTTGAGCTTATTATTTCTCTGTGTTACCATATATTAGCTTCATAAATGTTAATTAAGCAGCTTTGGATTTGGGTTGATTAATTATTTTTTCACTTCATGACAACATCTCGTATTTTCTGTTTTAGTGAGTATAAAATGGGTATACTAAGTATATTCTAAAAAGGGAAAAATCGAAGCCAGACTGTCATCGTTATCATGTCAGAGTGGTGTAACATAGGGAGTGACATTTTAAAGGCGACGAGTACTACGTGTTTAGAGGCTTTTCCCAATTTTGGAGCATAGGTACCAGCTTCACACATACAATGTACCTTTCATGCTCATCGTGAATCCTCCAACCAGTCACCGTTGAATCCAATACTTATGTGTATATAGGGTTGGAGCACACACAAACAAAGTCGCATTTTTTTAATCTCATACTATTATTTTATTGTCTGAGGTTTAATATTGATCATAAACGTGGATGGCGTTGGGGACACACACACACACATAAATTCGCATTTATTTAATAGTTACCATGAGCGCTGTCCTGATTAAAACAGCACAAGAACATATTTAAACTCCCGTTTATCGATATCATTATCGTAAGTCAATACAGTTTGAAATGCGATCTTTGGCATGTATGCACGCATTGCGTCTATTTGTTGTCATATGTTAGCAGCAAATTACGATGACTTACGTTGTTTTACTTTGAGTATCAGTAAACTACGACTCTTCTCACAGTTTTTGAACTAAGTTTAGTTTTTAAAACTTACCAGTGCATCTATAATTCCGTGAACTGGCCGGTTAGCTCAGTTGGTTAGAGCGCGGTGCTAATAACGCTGAGGTCGTGGGTTCGATCCCCATATCGGCCACTCAATGTTTTGTTTCAATATAAGGTTTTCTGTTTTGAAATAGGGGACAACTTATCACAAGGGTAACAAACTGGCCTTCAAAAATGACTAACAAACTATATACAAATGCAACCTAAAATTGGATGTAGTTAAACTGCATTAAATATCTTTAAATCAAGTGCGCATGATACTCATTTCAGTCAATCGGGTAACAGCGAGAATTTCCTTGATTTACTCAGACCTCTGAGCGAATCCCCCTCGATTCTGGCTGCTGGCCATTTTCGTTCATGAAATCGTCGGATATCATCAGAAAACGCGGGATTAGTGCAGTTTTGAATAAAATCAAGTTAGCGATTATGAACAATGGTTATTAACGTAACACCCGATCCCCTCTAAAATTTTTGTTTCGCGTTTTAAGGTAAAAAATCGAAATTTGAAACCGACAAGGTGTCGATTTACTAGGTGCCATGTTTCATAACTTGTTTATTTATCTGCGTATAGCGAATGATTTTTTTTTTAATTAGTATTTATTAATGTTCACCCCAAAGTGACTGTGACTTATAATCACGGTCTGTCAAACTGCACAACGTAGTGTTTGTCATAGTATTTATCTGGTGTAGTCCGAGGGTTAGATCTCAGTAAAAATGTTTTAGTGTTCTTTTTTATCAAATAGGTATGTATCAGGCAATAATTTTACTGTTATTATTCTTTAGAAATGTACGTTTTGTTTTTAAATTTGAATAATACAATAGCGTCGTCGTGAACTGGCCGGTTAGCTCAGTTGGTTAGAGCGCGGTGCTAATAACGCTGAGGTCGTGGGTTCGATCCCCATATCGGCCACTCAGATATTTTAGTTATATCTATGTTGTGTCCCGTGTAGTTTGAATGGGTGATTTTCATCTTCTCAATGTCGAAGTTTATATGAAAATTTTTGTTTTAACTACACTTTCTTTCGAAAACGTGTCCTTCATGCAAAACGCAACTTCTTTTGATAACTGCACATAGTGCGGTTGAATTAACGCTATGAACCATGACCCTTTGACCACGGTCATCTTCGGCCGCCCTTGTCCAGCTGTAAACGTGTAACCAAGTTAATAATTATTGGCGAATAGCCCGCTCGGTAGTCTTCCATTAAAGATTGACAATGGTGATAAACATTGCAGCCATTGTTTACTTATACGTCAATAACCGCCCAAGTAAGCAGCCACGAAAAAAACACAGAAATACCTTGCTTTCACAATATACGCATACATCTGTATCATGTGGAGAATATAAAGATTCAAGTCAAGTATTAAAAAATAATTAGAAATGATTGTTTCAACAGAAAAAAACACAGTAAAATGTATCAACTGCAGGGCATTCTGGGAAATGATGTGGATTCGGAGTCACTCATTTTCCCCAACTCCCAATGCATAAATTTAAAAAAGAATAGATATGAAGTACAATAATTCCTTTACCATACTCTCAATGCATAGCTATACAATTCATAGTTTTATTATGCTTTTAAGACGGCACGACGTCGTGAATCTAGACAAAAGAAAGGCGACAAATCAATAAAAAGTCCGCCGTTAACCCTCAAATGTGTGGGTCTGCCAGAAGTCTGTTTCATGGGCAAGGTGTTGCAACTTTATTTTATGTGTGGTATTATTGTGACATGGTCGTGGAGTTTGCAGTTAAACAAACCAGAGCTTACCCTACCATAAATGTGTAGTTTTTGCCTTGTATTTCAAGGCAGACAATCAAATTTAGTAACTACATTTGTTGTCGTAAATACCCATGAATATATCCCCTGTATTATAGTTATGTTAAATTTAAGTGAGAAAGTAAGTTGTTATGAAGTGGCTGGACAGCAGTGACTGCTGGTGTCAAACTTCAAATGACGGCATTGCATATTTAAACAATGTTTTATCCGGAATGTCTTTTTAATTATGTCACCTGCAAACCGCTGTCAGTGGATTGATTCTAATGAGACCAATTTTGTACACTGGGCAGTCCGGCACCCAGTCCGACAAGCAATACTATTAAAATATATAATTATTAATTTGATTTTTACAATTCAAAATTGTGTTTTTTTAAATTTTATTTTATTTCAATAAAAACAGTTATTTTTTTAAATTCATACTAGTATTCTACTTATCTTACGCAATGATGATTGAAAATTTCACGTTATTTTTATGTCAATTCATGTTTATTCCATTACGCCGAATTGTGTTTAGCATACTACATGTACATGTTGCATCTGTGAAGCCAAAATGTCGTTTATGAAATGTCATTCGTTTGTATCGTAACTTTCCGTTTGGTGCTGTAAGTTCCCCCTCCCCGACAAATTTCTATTTCATTTGGAAAATCGTGAGTGGTGGCGCTGTCTATCACCATAATCAGTATGACGTCATATCAGGTATATGGCATTGTTATCTTCCTATTGTTTCGTAGGTCCGTGGGTCTTCTCCGCAATAATCTGAAAACTAAATAGACACTAACTCGAACTATTACTAACTCAAAGTTAGGTTAACTGTTAATAAAACTTAGAGTTACTAAATGTGATTTGTGATTACGTACAGAGAAAAGTGTGTACATAGGAAGCCCAGTAAATACGGGTGAATGTAGAGGAATGAATAGTGTTTAGTGTATTGAGTGATTCTATGAAATATATTATGTACAACGTAACTTTATTTTATTACTTAGTTTTATTGCATCCTTCTAGTCATTGCAATCAAATAGCTGTATATACAAAGCAGGTTTTGTCATTTGCATAGTTTGGTTTCCAGGCCTCGTGTCAAGATGTTTAATTAGCATCTTCCATATTTTATTATAGACACCTTTCTATTTCAAATTATATATCAAACCAAAATATTAATTCACGAAAAACGAAACAAAAGTTTGAATATGCCGGCAGAGGGCGCACATTTTATCCCTATCACATTCTTTTGTTTTTGTCTGCAGCATATTCCTGTGACAGTTATACATGAAATAGCTCCAATGAGTGTACATGTAGTTAAAACAACTGAACGTAGAATCTACCATTTATATGCTCTATCCCATATATTTAAGTAACGTATGTACAACAATATAAATAAAGATATATATATGGAAATCGACAACAATCGACAATACGGTACACTGACATCACGTGACCTGACATTGGAGTTAAATTATTGCACGGAAAAAAGACAACAATATAAACATAAATATATTGTATAAACCGTAGTCTCATGGGCACCATCAAGGAGAGGAAGTACTGCTCTTGGTAGACAAGACCGAATCAGTTTTCTGATCAAGCGGTGCTTTTGAAGAGATACGCTAGTAGTTTGGCATCTCGGTGTCGGGAGTGCCGGGTGAGTTTTGTTCAAATCATGGCAGTTCGTTGTTGAACTCCTTGTTGCCATTGGGGTTGATTCCTCCATAACATCCCATTCCCTCGAGCGAAACCAGGGGAGGTCTCCTCCTCGTGTGAAGATGGCATTTTGTTTAACGGGAAATCGTCTCCTGTGTTCGCATTGTCAACAAATCCACTGTCGCCACTTCTGTCAGTGCCTATCGGATAGTGGGTGGATAGCGAGTGGCCGTCTAACGAGGAGAGACGCGAAGAATTTTGGATTCGTTTGTTCTGAAAAAGCAAAGTTAATTGGAAGGCGTATAATTTGAAACTTGTATATTTTAATTGTAAAGTCAAAAAAGTCTTCGACAAAATCGTCTTTAAGCGTGTATGGACAGTTGTAAATGTTTGCTGGAAAGTCGAGAAGGTAAAATATTACATCCGGGAATTGCGCGCCTCGGAGAGTAGTTTCATCATCATTTTGCCCTGTTACGAGATATTTCCATCAAGACTGCACATCATAACGAATATCTAGATCTAGAAAGAGGCCAATGCATGTGCAAGCTTTGCAATATGAATTCTATTGAAAATAAGTTGCATTTTTTATTAGTGTGTAACTTTTATAATCATATTAGATGTCTCTATATCCCACACTACTACTGCGTCCCACCCAACTGTAAATAATTTTATTGAATTAGTTAAAACTCAAAATGCGTTTAGCTGCTTTTGTATTCAAGTTCAATGCTATGAAACTTAGGAGGGAAATCCGCTGAAATATTGTAAACAATTTAAATGTTTCGTATTTACTGTCTTCGGTCGATGGCCATGTATCAGTTAATAAAAATCAATATGTCATAATAGGAAAACGAATATTACATGAAGCTTGATACTTTAAATATATCAATGTAATTGTGATGTGATGAATACCAGCACGTATATGGAAGAAAAGGTCGTAAATATGCCGCATATATACTACACTATCTGGGTATTTGGGATTACTCATATGCGAATTACCCATAGTACAATGTGATGACTATGTCATGATAGTAATGTTTGAAGTTCATATGATCACAACCTGTAACAACCACATGCGGACGTAGATGGCGTGTTCGTTAGCAACACATGATTACAAAGAATGGTACGTCACATTCGGATTATATTGTCTTTTTCCGGAGTACACGAACACTATTCTAGAAAGCGCAAATGAGTCACGGTGTCGGGAGAGAAGCAAACCGTGTCTGTGTAATACGTTTGCTGCTCGTATTCAATTTAATATGTCACAAATAAGGCCACGTTCACCAACTTGCTCTGTTCATGAACTAGAGGAGACCAACAGAAATTAAATTGCACGGAAGACCGCTGAAACAGTCTCAGCTGCATCGTTTATACTGGATAACATTAACTTTATTTCGTGACGCGTACCTGTGCCTCGCTGTCCAAATCCCTCTCATATACTGGGTTGTCTGTCCTGTCCATATTATACCGAGGTTGCGCACTTGACTGACTGTTCGTTATTGGTCTGGAGGCATTCAACATCACTGACGTGTCGCCTTTCCTGTAAAACAACGGGGTAGAAAATTGAGATACAGCTGTGAGATATGTAGCATTAACGGAAATTTATTTCAATTTGATTCAATATTAGCAAAGGGTACTTAGAAAGAGGCATTAAAATGTGAAGTCTCAAAAAATCGTCGGGGAAGTGGAAAACTACATCGTTCGTGTTCGTGTGTTGGGTTTGGAGCACTGCGGAGGGCGCAACTCACGCGACTTTGTCAGGCTAGATTACCATAGTGGCATCATGTATTACAATCCGTCATCACTGTGTATACTGCTGCTTCTATAATTTGTCACACTTATTCACGTTTTGTGCGCGTGCAATCGGTCGTTCGGTATCCGAAGATAAAATAACTGCGATGTTTGTTGCTGTTGATATTACATCATGATATGCACGTGTCCCTGTTTATGAATAAGCCTGCGGACAATATTGTCACTGCAGATCGGTAACCAACAGTTGTTATCAGATATTCGCATGCTGATTGGCACGATGGTATAAACACGTGTGTATCTTACCTCTGATTTTGTCTTTTTTTTACCATTACGACAATCACTATGATGATTATTATGAAAAGTACGGCCAAGACGATGCATGCGATGAGGAGATTCTGCGAATCTGAAATAAAATAAAAACACATTTGAGGAGAGAGTGGATATATGCACATACATATATAGAATTTATTTGTTTGTTTTTTTCTTTAATTATTAATACATTAATGACTCACCGAGAATTAAGAAAAAAAAGTCAATCCCACATCGTATCTTGTGATAAACAAATCTTACCCATTTGCGTAGCGTTGCCTCCGTGACAGTACTGCGGCTTTGGTAATTTGAATTCCGGAGGCTTGTCGCTACATTCACATGAGAGACTGGTTACATTGCCACGGCCGCGATAACAGAACTCGGTATTCATAACTTAATTTGGGACAGCAAAACTCCACTGCGGTTCCTGTGATAAATAATGATTATTGGTGTGAAGATTGGTTTTATTTTATAATACGAGTTGTGTCCCAAAATTCCGACGTATCCATACACAGTCCCTCAACATTGTCATATTCAGGGACTGTGGTCTATAACAGATTCTGGGGCCTGATGAGGTCGAGGCCGGGGTGGGTTAACTTCCATAACCAATATTTGGGCCAAAAAGCGTCCTTTCTATTTTATTTTTTCAATTGGATGTGAAGTACCCCAGGCTTCACCCAGGAGAGAAGGGACGGGTATTGGTAGGTGATATTATAGATGTGCTCAAGCACATTTCTGGAAATGTAATTTTTTTTCTTAATCTTAAAAATATAAAAATTATGAATTAGGCTAATCTGACGGAAGACATGTCCGATTTCATTCAGCGTACATATCGGCACATTGATGTATGTCATGATTTCTCCTTACATCCATCCATCGTCCCGGGCATCGCGGTCCCTTCCCTTGCACAATGAACGGGGAATGCGCATACACCCGGAGCTTGACACCGAAGTTGACCACATGACTGCTTAGGCAACATACTGCTATATATACGGTACGTATTGTTATTGAATATTCTAAATTAAACATGGATGATGCGTCCGACTGGGTAAAAAACAACGCAGTGCGCATGCGGGCGATACAATAAATACATCATATGAAAACGCACTGGTACATACAATCTCATTGTATATATTTAGAAGTCAAGTTCAAATTATACACCATCCGAGGTATTAACCATATATTGCTATGAATGTAGCCGATAAGAGGATAGTCTATAGTATAGTTCACCACCCTAACCCACCCCACCCCAGGGTCGTTTGGCAATAACCTACTTCAGCACGAACGACATACACCATGTCAGCAGTTTAATGTTAATATTATTGAAACATACGAAAAGAACATGCGCATGAATATGCGTGTGGCTAATTTAACTGAATTAATAGTCTTGCATTTCAATATAATTATACAGTCTAACATGAAATGATGCTTTCAAGCCAGGTAACATTTCCCCTCTCGCATCATATACATAGCATACAATGGCGATTAAGCAATCAGACACACCCAGTCGCCAGTACCCTACTACATGGAGACGTAGACCCATGAGTCGACGTAGGAATGAATTGATTGGAGGTTGACGCTTACCTTGTGATGATTTACGAATGTGTTCGCCAGTGTCAACGTTCAAAGACACGTGCGCCAGAGACTGTTATTGACAAATACTAGTAACCACAGGTCACTTGTGTTAGAACATCGATATGAACACAATTACAACACCGAGAGGCTCTGTGTACTAGTAATCGTTCAGATGGTAGGCTTTTCTTAGCTGTCGCTACGAAATCGCTCATTCCAAATAGATGTTCCCTGTTTATAGTGGTGTAATAAACCTACCTTTACACAAACGCTAGTTTCACAGGTCACGTGACGTCGCAGCTGCGTTTTGTGTATTCGACCGATTGGAGTAATGTGGGCGACAGTCACACAAATGCAAGAGAAATGACGCCAGCCAGCGCCACCATAGTCAGCTGACTGAAATCCTTTATTCTCAGAAACGCAATTAGTTCGCCATCATTTGTTTCGCATGATTCAAGTTCCAGGTAAATTTTGTGAGGAAATGTAATGAGAATGTACTCTGACCACGTATCCAGCGAAGCGGTACGCGGTGTGTGTAAGCGTTTTGTTTTCATTGGTGTCCTTGGGCCGAGCAACGGGGTTGCATGGTGATGGGAATAATATGAAGCAGAACAGAGCCATACCGATTACTAATTTCTCAATATTCAGTTTCAGTGCAACTGTCATTACACGTAATGGTTATTTGATTCTGAGAAATGTCAGACAATGAACATTTTTGGCACTGTATCAAATATTCTAGATTTTCCATATCTCGGTACTATAGTTGAAATCAATTAGGGAAAGATATTAATATCTCACCAACATGCAACTATTAATATGTTGTATTATACAGTGGTCCTACGGTGTGAAATACAAATCGTGAAACTTATACTTTGTGGTATTAATTCCCAGTCAGGAGTACTGTAATATCACTGCGGTTCGTCTTGGAGGTCCCATTGCATAGCTCTATGGACATGCCGCCTAATGAGACCAGTCAGACCAGTTTAGAAGTCTGAAATAAAGTGAATGATGACCAACTAGCAATATGACGTTGAAGCCATGATCGAAAGTGGAGAAACATAAATAATACGTAACCCATACCAAACTAAGGACTATAGCATTTGAAAGGGTTAATGCTATGTTTCACTTAATCGTATAACGAGTTTTCAATCCGACCTGTCACGTGTAATTATCATTAGAGTATTCGTCATAACTAAGATTTTTTTATAGCCCACACCGGATTTTAAAGAGAGGGAATTGAAATGGAAGTGACTGAGGAACTGCCTACATTTGGATTATTTTCACCTTACGTTTTGAACTATTTGTTTACCAGTTTAAAATTGTTCACTTTCATGCATCTACTTGTGTATTTAGAAGATTTACTGTTTTGGCACAAATTAAACAGTGCGACCCATTATGTGGTGGAGGTGTTGTGTCGCGAAAACCTCTATACAGTGTCCCCATTCTTATGCAGCCAATTTCGACAACAAGTACAATACGTCCCTATTGTCAAAAAGAATGTACATTCAAGTCACCGGATGTTTATGACTCGTGGTCACGTCATGGTACCAGTGCAGCGCACGCTTCTTGATGACTGAACCGACACATGATCACATCTTAGCAGCGGACTTGAAGCACTTGGTCGATTGCCACAAACAAAACATACTCACAGCGTCCTAAAAGTAAAACGAGCCTTCTGACAGGCTGTTAACGAGCACTATACATAAAGCACACACACTGCAATACAAATTTGGTTTCAAAAGAACGAAACATACATAAATAAATCAACGTTATTATTATTATAAAATGATTTATTATCATAGAAAAAATGTACGAAACACAAAATTCCGTAGAGGGCAGTATTCATCCACATCACTGTAAAAGTGGTGGCTTTAGATAAAAACAAACCTTATTATCAGTACGAAAACATAAGAACATAAACATATTAGTAAAGAAGTCTGAATGTGAAATCATTGATAAACACCGAACCAACAAATAATGTACACATTACAATGGAAGGATTAATGAGTCTGGGAAAATACTCAGATATCAGGTAGACTGCAGCATTATTACGTCAGCAAATCGGACGAGCTTATCCAACATATCACGGACGTGTCTACGTACACATAGATACATAAAACTGTAATATTTACCGCCGAAAACATTTTTTTATGTGTTTTTCTTCATTTTTTACCAAATAAACACAATTCACTATCCCTACACATTAAGTAACATTTTTTTGAATAAAATTATGAATACAACAATTTTTTTTTCCTGAAACATGAGGTAAAAGTTAATAAAAGGTCAAATTTGAAGCATCATAATATGGAAACGAACAAAGAAAGCAAAGAAAACATGGCAGCAAGCAGTATTGACGAGATGAACATGGATACAACTAGGTACACACAGCATATGAATCACCACTTTTGAACTTATAGTCTGTATTTTAAAATGTGAATTTTCTATTTCTGGAAGTTTATTTACATTTGTTATAATTGTAATTGTTAAATGTAATAGCACTATTAATATTATAAATAGTCTAAAGCCATTTTAATAATATGTAATGTAATATTAAAAAGTCTTGTTCAATCCGGAAATGAACGTATAAATAATATATATATTTCAGTTTTTATTTCTAAAAATTTTTGAACCGTTTCTTTTGCCAGAGAAGGCGTGAACCGGTAGTGTTATTGAGACAGGGATTTGTAACGGGAAAACCTCCGTTCACGGTGAGCGCTTGTCCGGCTTCGTAAAGATCCGCCACATTATGATGTCCACGCTGCAGCGACGAGTTGTGTAGGTTACCGTCCGATTTAGAGTGAATCCCACGTATAGGGTGGAACATATTAAAATCAAATTCTGCGTCTGCTTCTGACGTATTCATGTGTACACCTCCCCACGTGTTTTTGTCCAAAATTGATAGCTTATTTTTATAGCCATCTTCTAAGTTTTCCGGTGTGAATGAGTAGTTCGAACCAGTCTCAGACACCTCTTTGCCTTCTTCAAAATCACCGTCAAATTCTCTGGCGAGGTCAACGGGCACCGATGGCAAGCCGTTCTGAAAACACAAAAAAACAAAGCAATAAGTACTATTTTATTAATCCCTCGTATTTATCTAAAAAAACTACATATTATTGCATTGCATATGATAGTTCGAGTTTTAAACTGTGATAATGTTAAGACAACATCAATGACAATGCTCTCTCTCTCTCTCTCTCTTAAAACCAAGTCAATGACCGGAGACGCTGAGGGCCTAAGGCTCTAAACTATGGGCACGAGTTGTGGCGGATCTCTCGACCATACAGCTAAAAATGGGATTCATAGAACATTATTTCGTCGGTTTGATATATTCATCACTGGACTAGGTTCAAAACCACCACTTCGGCCACTGTCGGGTGGAAATGACGAAATGTCACGGTATTGCAACGGATGTGAAACAACACGTGTCATTTACCTCAGCTTCTACGAGATCTTCTTTACCGTACGCTGGGTTTGAAGTTATAGTGTGTTCGTGTTTTCCGACTTCTGCTCTGATGACAGCGTCTACCTCGTCCACGTCCGTCACATGCTGAATTTCGTCAACTTCTTTGTTCCTGAATGAATGAACGAAGGATGATCAATATGGGTTGTCGAGAACTGGCACTCTTGTGACAAGATTATGTAAACTAATAGTTACCCCCTAAGTGCAGCCGACCACACTGTGTCAACTGAACACTGAATCAGATAAAAAGAGGGTACGCAACCTTGAAAATAAGATTTCAATTAAGCACATTTATTAACTCCACTTTTTGTGTACAGGTGTATTTCACTACTAAACTACAAGGTACTAGTACTCCGAAAAAACAGACCTATGCTCACAATACAAATTTCTTATTCTCACTAACACTTACGCTGCCCTTCTGTATTAATATTTCTTTTTACCAAGAATAGATATTAACACAAGTTCTAATTTCTTTTTGAAATAATGTCCTGGATAGTTTATTCACTCAAAGAATCAGAATGATCCTAATTGACAATGGTGAAGTATGTTTGAAAATATACTATCGTCATAGCAACTGGATCCAGGTCATTCACACACTTCAGAATCAATGAGTTATCTGGCATGGAATAGTCATTGCAAACATTTTTATTTCTATGTATTACTTGTTTTTAAGAGCAAGCTCTTCTGGAAATATGACTGGGTAAATCGATGGAAAATCATTTTCTACCATTGTTGTTTATATGCCATTCCGACCAAAACATAGTCGAATGATCATTGTGCCCCCCCCCCCTCCTTGAATTGTCATTAGCACTCATCCATAACGTTTCAAGTTGTAAATGAAAAATCATTCCCCCAAATTGCTAAGCAACCAGATCCACATCCGTTTTTTCAGAGCCGTTTTATAAAGAGCAACTAACAAATTAGTGTATCCGGGAGTCTATACACTCAAGGTATATGAAGAAACATTTTCCGTGACGTGTGTGTTTTACTCTAGTAGTCTGTCAGAGTGTGGCCCAAGTTCAGTATTCTGGTAGTAGATCAATAGAGAGATGGCCTGTCATTCACTGGCAGAGTTCCCGTTGCACACATTTAAAAATTCGAATACATCTATAGAGTGGTGGATATAAAACCTAAACAGCTATCTGATTCAAGCAAAACAGACTTAGTCGCGAGAGGGCGCTATATAATTGAAAATGTGCCCATCTGTCGTGTCGGATCAAAAAAAGAAAAGGATGGGAACATGCACACAGAGCAAAAGTAAATAAATCTAAAATCACATGCTTATACGTACCTTGCCTTTTTTTGTCTGTTGAAATAAAATGTTGAAGAAGTTTATGTATTACGTTATGAAATTATGGCCGAGGGGAATAATATATTATTATAAAATACTCCTTGATCCCACGTGAAATGTACACCATAGGCATTGCATGCAATCATATATTTGTTAATTGAGAAATTAAACACCACTATATATAGCACCTGTCACACAAGCCTCTTGTAGAATGCGCCCTCAATGAATATTGACCGATTGTATTTCTTACCTTCGTTTAATTACATGCCATGCCACGACGAGAAATACGACCAATATAACGAAGACCACTATACAGGCCACCGTAATAATAACTATCATGATAGTGTCTTTATCCATTTTACCTGAAAATCAAAACGACGTAAACAGCTAAAATTATATAATATGTCAGTGGTATGTTTTTTTAGCGGACTTCAAAGTTTTAAATACATCTGCAAACATGATTCAATATCTAAATTAGAGATCTAATAGATCTGGTAGGCTTGGCTGTTAGTTTAGAGTGAGGGAAAGGGATAACAATCGGCCCAACCTAAAAGACGGAGATCAAAGGAATAACCACGGCGCATAGCTTTTTAATGTGACCACACCCCCTGGTATATGAACGTCCAGGCAATGACACAACATAACACTCACGATACAACAAATGCAAAACAACACAACGGGCGTGTTTTGATGTATAGAAATTATAACGGACACACAGATGTATCTATCGCAGTGTCGTGTTTCTGGCTCATATCTATACCAACGTATTGGCATTGATAATTTCTGAGTCCATTCACAGTACTCATGACGTGGCATTTCGACCACCTTAACAAGTCCACAATTGTTCGGGCTTGTCAGGTTCCTGACTGATGGTTGTTGACAGCGACCAACCCAATATTGCTACAACACCACATTGAAATTTAAATACAGCCAACGTCTCATTCGCGTGGTTCTGCAATGTCATAAAATCTATCACGATTATTGATGGATTCATTGAATAGCTAGACCTAGTTTACCCTCCCCACCACCACCACCACCACCACCACCACCACCACCACCACCACCACTATCATCGGTGGACGACAAACGACCGCGTCGTACTCTATGGTTTAGGGTACCTGGTAAAATTATGTGTTTACACAATTGTATAAAACAACAGTGACAATACTTAGTACTAGTAAATAATAATATGTATGCACAAGTGTAGAGATAAAAAGGAAACAGTCCGGATGCTTCTTTTAAAAAGCCACTGAAGACGAAAGTCAAAATGTAATTATACCGAATTTGAAAAGATGCAAATCTCCCAGTCAGTGAACGTCCATGCCGAATCAATTTCCCTCCAATGATCGACGGCAGTCTTTTCAACGAAGGCAGGCAAGTAAATTGCTCCTCACTGGCTACACATTACCACAGACCGTGACGAACGTCAGGTGTATTATTTGACCACGGAGAATCCTTGCCGCCGATAAAATTGTATGTGTATAGGCCAACTCGTACACATCTATTTCCGAACCAGTATTTGCGAGTAATGATAAAATTAATTCGAGTATCATAATAATTTCACAATACAGACCAAGAAAAGGTGGTCATGTGGTCGATAATGGGATATTAATTATTTAAATTGCAAGGATATCGATGCATGATAAAAAGGAAACTACCTTACCTGCTGTTGTTGTTGTTGTAAAATATATTCTAAATTATAAAATTTGACGTCATCGCCTGATCTCCTGGAATAAAACGAAACCAGAACGTATAAATCATGTGAGGTGCCTAATGTTTAAAATAAAAATTTATATAGTTTTAAAAAGGATTCACACTGCATTCTTTTCTAAGGACTGATTCTGGGATGTCGTGTTTTTAGTATAAGGGGGTCTCATTAGAACCCGGGGAAGCTATTACGCTGAATATCGTAATGGGATTATAGCGTGTTATAGTATCTGCGTACATCATTCACGCATGTAAATACATCATGGGCGTTTTCTATTTACAACAAAAACCCAGACAGACATTCACTGTTTCTGAGGAGCAGAACAAATGAAATCTGCGCTGTTCGAATAAGATTACTGTACGAAGTGTGATGTTACCATGGACACGCTTTACTTTACCGTTGAATGTGTGCAACTCATACGAGGTAGGCTAAATTAGCACGGGGTGTCAATGAAACAAATTAATACATTATCATCGATGTTACGTGTCTTCAACACTTAAGGATAACTTGTTTATTATCAGAGGATGACACTCAAGTTCAATTAGGGAAAAATTATGTGAAAATCCCGCCCAATAGTTCACTTCTTCCCAAAGAGTTCACTGACACGACGCGTTCTAGTGACCACAGGCCGGTTGCCATGGTTAGGTTATTTTTAAAACATAATATCAGTTTTTCACCACGAATGTTTGACGATTTACATGTATTTTGTAGTCGAAATTGTGGATTCATTTAAACAGTAACTATAACAGCAATAGACGTTGCGACAAACGTGGTACAGTAGGTGTAAAATTCAAATGACTTATCAATGTTGTAAACAACCGTCTATAAAAGGCGTTAACTTCTCGCGTCATTGGGGCATAAGTTCAATTGTGTCCAAACAGTTCAAATGCGTTCATATAATTAAGTTCAATGTCAGCTATTGTCGTGACATTCCACAATTGTGTGTCTGGCTGCGCCGGTGAACGACATGGGGAACCGCGATTTGGATTACGGGGTACCATGTATTGGTTGAGGGGGAACATGGTATATTTGTTCGGGCGTCCACTTTTCACTCGGGACCTTCAGTCATCCAATTTTTCTTATCCAAACATTTAAACAATCCTACTTGGAGAAATCTTTTCACACACCCTCACTAAAATGCGTCATGTTTTCATACAAAGGTTTTTAGTTTTATCTAGGTAATTCGCATGCCTCAGAGTACACAGCACATCATGACGTGTGTTGGTAAAAAACGTGAAAACACGCCGGTCAGTTCAATGACCCACTCATATCTCGAAAACTACACACCGATTCCAATAGTTATCTGAGCTAAGATAAAGTCAGGTACCTACAGTAAAACCTATTATAGCATATACATTTGAAATGCGTGTTATGTATCTAGGTCAAGCAGAAGTATTATATAAAACAGAAAAAAAGACAGAAAAGTAAAGGGACAAACAAAATACATGACACGTTGAGTCAGTAAATTACTACATAATTCAAAAGTGATAAATTGAAATCACAAGAAAATTGATGTTATTTGAATCTTATGTTTTGTATCTTTTGTTTCAGGTTATTGGAATCACTAAACGCAGCTGTGTTTATTTTGTTTATTTTTGAATAATAACTAAATTTACAGAGAAATCCAAATTACCTATCATTGTTTATCGTTACCTAGTAACTACGTAAAGTGTCCGAGTCCATACATCCTGTTTTGTATTTTATCCATTAACAAAACGTGACCAAAAACTCTAATGCAATCGTGAAATAAAGTTATGTTATTTCCAGTCCCGACTGGCAGAATGTGCACAACGCCGATATAGTTTTCCTCATTTTAATTAAATTATAGTTTGTAGCTAAAAAGAAACTTAATTATTTTATATTGAAAGCCTTTAAGTTGAAAGTTGGTGTCCTTGGTTATTTTGAACGGCCTAGCAAATATATATAACATTAAAATACAACATCACAGAATTGGTTTGCCTTTGCAGTCACCATAGCTCGAGTAGTCTCCAAAAGAATTGTCGGCATTGATGGCATTCGTCCATTTTTTTTCTCTCTAGAAAATCCGATTAAGAATGACATTAATATTGAATATCATAGTCGTCCCAGGCAATCATATGGCCATTCCAGCCAACCACTCAACCACCCACCTGGTCAGAGGCGGATCCAGAGGGGGCGAGGGGGGCCATGCCCCCCCAAACGCATGACGATTCGTATCATCTGGATAACGCACAGCTTCTCTGCGATTTACGATCCGTATATCTGAAGCGTAGCTTGGACCCCCCCCCCCAAATACATTTTGCTGGATCCGTCACTGCACCTGGTCATCGTCGACCATGTTAAATCTTTGAAACCAATCATACATGTATATGATAGTTGATTACAAAACGGAGGTCAATTTCTATCGTCTCTGATAATATCAACTTGAAGTGTACTGTGTAGTAGTACGACTATGTGCACCTAAACTAACAATGTTACCCTTGGCTTGTTTCAAATAACGATTATGTAAAATATCATATGCGACAACCACATCATTTACAGACAGTTATATTAGCTGTCATGTGACATAAAAGAATAAAATAGAACCTTGGAAAGAATTGACGCTTTATTTCTAAAGCTAGTGCAGTATACATTGTTGTCAGTGTACCGTTTCGTAATGTTGGGCGCGGTGAGGTCACACACGCCTTGCAATTATACTTATTCTTACGTACATTCATTCACTATAACGATTCCTCTTGTATTGTGTGTAGCACCGGTGGCTAGCCGACGCGAATCAAAGAGTATTTTAAATTACTTGTGCCAAGCGAGTAACGTGTTCGTTTTATATAGGCCATTCCTTCTAACACGGCCTACTTGCGACATAGTCGTATACACAAAACAGACACCGTGACGGCTGATGCCACTGCTCGACTAAACACCAAGGCCATCACACAATATACTGGTATTACGTTTACATCAAGCCTTTTTGGGGGGTTTATGTTATTTTTATAAATACGAGGTCGTGTCAAAGTCTTCAACAACGATTTAAATATAACGATTGAGGTAAAAAAAAACAGCTGCATGCTATGACTACGAAACTAAATTGGGTCACTTTTAAAAAATATAAACACGTTGTATGCGTCCCGGCCGAATCATCAGGTGGAGGTCAACACAATTATTTTCAGCCCATTCAGAACGCGATGTAAATTCGCATGGAGAGACATTGGCAAATCGCGCGTGGTTTAACATACATACATGCGTGATTTAATAATTTTTTGACGTTTTGAGTTAACTTGGATTATAATCCACATATTTAAGTTCTGGGCGTTGACGATCGACATATGATATACGTTTCAAAATGGCGTCACTTTGTAAGCAGGCATTTTTTTTCATATAAAACGTCCAATACACGAATGAGTAGGAAAAGAAACAGTGAGAAACAAGTAACTTACCATGTCCAGACTAGCGAGTATACATTCTGTGGATTGACGAGATGTACAGATTATTTATGAAGTCCTCTTTTTCGAGGTGTGTTCGTTTACACTGCCAGTATGCCAGCGTGACTCAGTACATCACTCTCATTGTTGGGTCCGCCATTCATGCATATTTAAATACATTCCCCCCGCCATTGTCATGCAGACTATTATTCCACCTATCACGAACACAATGTGACGTCACGAAAAAAAAGGGAATCGCTTTCCATTTTACAGTGGGTCAAACAAATGAACCACGCTAAACAGCGCCACCAACCTATATAGATATTTATTCTGGCATGAGGGTACAGTAATCGGTTTAAGGATATTCATGTGGGCTTTCCCCCGAATCCTCCCAAGAGAAAACGCGAACGTGAGATTGTCCATTAACTGAAATTACGGAAGTACGTAAAATACGAGTTTCAAGCTAAATTCTTCCCTGCTATTTCCGTTTGCAATCTTCATTCCCAAACAATTCTCACCATTTTGATGTTTCAATGCAGACCTTCACTACTTGTGTCCAGTTAGTTTGAAATGCCCAGATTTTGTGTTCGTTCTACTTCCAGATAACACTGAATAATATGAGCTTTACCACCGTCGAAAGGAGGCCATACACCTGCAGCTGAAATAATTGAAGATTCCTCCCCCACGTGATAATGTACTTGTATTCGGCGTAATTGAACATGAAGATAACAAACTCTACATCACCCAGTATGGTAACGTACCCACGAAACTCAAATAGCGAACACGCACTTGAGCTCTGCGGAGTAACGAGATCCTGTGCACTATTTCCCCCGCGAAATCAACCACTGTCGAATTTGCCATAATTTTCTCAAGAACACATCTGTCAGTTTGTTAAGTGTGACAGTAAGTCACCAATTGTTTGAATAAGTCAGCGCTATAGATATATTCGCGACTAATATAAACATGAGTCCTCGTTCCCAATAACTATGTAGTTTATTTAGAAACATGCACAAGAGAGTTCACAGTATCGTTGTTTGGATTATTTACTACTGATTCGTAACACAATACACTTACACATCTAAACCCATACAATTGAAAAACTGCCTAACCTCCAAATACACGCTTTCCAGTAGATATTGAAAACAACTAGTATGATTAAGTGCCGTTGAGGGCAGTAAACTAGAAGAACAAAAAGTACACTGCGGGACACGGTCAAGAAGTCACTCGACGTGGAGGGGGTGTGAATTGCTCACCTTTGCAACCATTTGTAATCGATACCAGACAATGAAACTGAACTGAACGCGAACTTCGAGATCGAGCTTTACTTCAAGTAACTACTCCTGAAAAATATTGGTATCAAAACATTTCAAGTTTAATTTCGAATATCGTCAAGGATTTATGAAAATAAGAATATTCAAACACGATATTTACAGCGACTGCGTGAACAGAACCGTTAACGACGTTAGTTGCGTCAGAAGATATAAACACGTGACACACGCTTCGTGAATACTCAAACACGATCCATGGTGTATAACATCACATACATGTGTGATATTAATTTCACCAACACTAAGCTCCCTTCACATGCAATATTAACCAACTCAAATGCCTTCTTCCATTCGCAGGCATCAAACAACATCACTCGTCACAATGTTGCAAAGTCTCCACGCCAAAATGCCCCTAGTTGCCACAGCATTTATGACGGTTGGGAATGAGTGACAACCCCTAAAAACGCTGAAAACATACTAAAGCTGTTGAAAAGAATCAAAGCCTAAACCATATGGTTGTAACTTAAAGGGTGGTGGTCGTCGCGCCTCGCATGTGTGACATTTGTGTTGATAAACATTGATTTTCCTATAATTTCAATGTGCTCTTCTAAAGAAATCACGAGAATTAGTTTTGCTCTGGGCGCCACTTATACTAATTACCACCGGCGATTCCTTCGATACCTTCCAATCACAGTCAGCTGGCGCACACGTGATAATAAAATAAATACGACATTTACTATATGGGGGCCGACTATATTGAATGACGCATAAAACTAAATAAGAGACAAGTTTTCCTGGGGTATTTAAAACTAAAAATTGGCATTCCAGCTCAGCAGCCAATCAGCGACGGCCTAACGCTTAGATGACAATTTCGGTTTCAAATACCCCGGCTCAGTGTTCTAGGTTCTTCGCGTAATTAGGTGTTCGTATGCAAGGGATTTTTCCACACAAAAACGACGAATTAGGCCGAATTTTGTTACCGTTATTTAGTTTTATGCGTCATTCAAGATGGCGGCCCCCATATAGGAAATATCGTATTTATTTCATTATCACGTGCGAGCCAGCTGACTGTGCTTCCAATCGCCAACAAAATTATCTAGTTAAAGTTTGGTAACCTTTCAGTTTGTACTCGTTGGTCTGCGCAACTGTTAAAGTCGCCATCTTTGTTTATATGTGACCCATATATCTCGCGCATGCGTGGCGCGACGACTACCACCCTTTAATCGTTCAGTTGAGTGATATAAAAAAGGCTTACAAATCCTGGAAGGAAAGTTTTGTTGACAAGAGGCTAATCTTCAGGCTACAGCTGATCTGGGGTAATGCGCCCTCTATGTCAGATATACCGACCCCAAAACCTAAATGATATATAGCGCTTTGAGCCAATATACCAATATTTTGTCGGAAAATAAATATTAGCTTATTGTTTAAAAAACCAAGGTTATAAATAGTTCCATAGTGCGCAAGACAGTTCCTTGACGTATCTGCGTAGTGCAAAAGGGGGTCCAATGAAAAACATTATCCTCCGAGTCGTTTTAGAGATTTTTATTTGTCTTTTTAGCACTGAGTGGGTATAACTTGAGACTATATTTGGACGTAACTTTCCGATCAAACTGTGTATTCGAGTGAAATATTGTTACATTGACTCCAACTTTCGTACGCAGGTATCTCCCATAATGCATTGCATACATGTGCAGTAACATGCTCAGCAGGTACAAATTTGAATTCGGCTCAGACAGTTAAAATTATATTTAAAAGAATTCACTAATGCTACGAACGTTATTTGATGTGGTAAGTTATTTCAAATATAAGTGCCCCTGTATTTATAACGTCGTCTACAAATCGACGTCCTGTGCCTAGTGTATATATACAATGAATTATTACGAAATGGCCGTTTAACTACGGAATGGACGCTAGCCACAAGAAGAAAATTATTCTAATAAGATGAAGCTAAGCTAGACTGAAATTTGAAATGTAACGCAGCCTCAGTAAAAATAAAGCTTTGTAAAAAGGCAACCACTTTAAGTTAGCTGAGGTTCTTCAATCTGGTGACAGCGATGCCCGACTTTTTGAGGATGTGAGAGACTTGGTCGTCCCAGCTAAAATGTTCATTTACAGTATTTTGACTCCTAATATCTTAGCATGACAATGGACGGTTTCGAGTTGTTTTTTATACGACACTTAGTTAGATTCTGGATTCTGGATATTGTATACTGTAGTGGATACTGCAGTTTTCTCTCAACGTCATCGATTTCTCTACCCGCTGAAAGCTAAATCCCTAACATGTGCACTGTACTGTAAAGCATTAATAAAAGAATAAATAATGGCCCAAAAATAGAATCCTGGAGAACATCAACTGGTATATGGGCAACGGAGTCTGGGGTATGTCGTAGTAAGTCTCTGCTGGAATCTTCACCACGACTTTTGATGGAGCGTGACCCGGGCTGTACATGAATATAGCTCCTTTAACAGCCCACAACTTTATTATTATATTTTATTATATTACCTATGTTATATCCAATGCCATATCGGACGCGTTAAAGGTCCTGTCAGATAAGCCAGTAATTATATCCAATCAATCGGGTTTGATTACACTTATTTCAATACACTTTCACGTTGATTCAAGGTTATATAATGACCATTGATTCATCACTATACAACTTATAGGAAGTACAATCTGCAAAATTTGTTGGCGTTACTATAGGTAATCAGTTCAGGGTAACAAAATATATTTCACGGGTAAAAATTAACCTTTTTTGAAATTTTCGTCCACGGCATACTCTCATCATGATTTACATTCCCTGTCACACACATATATATATATATATATATATATATATATATATATATATATACGAAATATGTATATGTATACGAAAAATAATGTTAGTACCACAACTTTTTTCCCTCATCTACAAATAACTTAAGTTACAGTTGGATTATTTGACTATGATATTGACAACAACAAGTTTTATTGCAAGCATTACATTTTATACAATCTGGAATCCTACTAAAACAGATCAGAACAGTTTACGCCAAAATACAATGGTGCATCAATTATAGAATGTTATTCCACATTAGATCAGATCTCTTCAGTGTAGACACTTTTAAGCAAGCTTTTCAGAAAATGTGTAAATTATCATATATAAGTACTCTATATATTCAACGTACATATTTGTTTATGTTTTAATTCTATACTAGTGATCGGGTGTAGTATTTGAATATTGGTTGATTACCCCTATTTACTTTCACTTGTTGTACAAACAATTGTCAATAGTTTAACACATATAAAGAACACATAAAATATGTTGCATGTGGAATGAGCGCCCAGGTAACACAATTGCAACATATAGAATGCATTCGAACTATTACATGACAAACTCTTGCATTTAGAAGCAAATGTGCTCACGATTAAGCCAAATACATAAGACACAAAATAGACACACTGAAATACACGCCGCCGGAGAAGTTGTTACAACATTACACGCTGCACTTTATGACCAGTTTGAATATAGTATGTTGTATCCAGTTCTGCAGTTAGTATTTTTATGTAATCCAATCATAGCTTACAGCATATGGGATTTTTCCTGTAATTCTATTTCTGTGACATGGTTTGGTTCTGTATTTGACGCCATCTGGTAAGAATGTCGTCCTTTATGCTTGGACCCATTTGACCTACAACGACATGACAATTGAAACAGAAAACGGATAATAATAACTCTTAAACTAGTTCTTATACTTAATAATACAACCCATACATATTTAGTTCAAAGTTGATGGGAGAATGTGAACATGAATTCTCTTGCCTAAGCACTCAGATATTGTTAATAGTCACAAAGCAAGGCAGTATATTGCATTACACACCATGAATATCTTGTTGTTGCTCAGGACTAACACCCCGGGATATGTTGCCTGAACACTCTTGAATTGCTTGAATATGCGAACATCATGAATACTGAAACACCGTAAAACAGATGTCGCCTAGCCAGACTGAAGTCAGTACTGTGCTACTGGTACCATGTCCGTAAAAATGCCCTCAAATAAAACATTTACTTGATATATTCAATACATATTGGAATCGTATATTTCCCTCTGGAAGTGAACCCCCCTCCCCCTCACCATCCAATTAAGACAGTATACTTCAGTCAGTCTTGGCCTCGAAAGAAACACAGAGCAAAAACTGCATTTAGGCTGTGTCGATACCACTGAAGAAATTATTAGACCTAGCCTTAGTATTTCATCATAGAAAGCATATAGATAGTGAGAGAGAAAAATGAAATTGTGGCTAATTTACAGACAGCTGACTCGAGCCCGTAACAGGGTAGTAACAATTCATCTCGGCGACTATTCACTTCAATATTTTTACCATTAACTACGATGAACCAGACACCGAGCCCAACTACCCCCGACTCCCCGGTAATGACAATTGTATGTAGGCATACATATTGCACAACACAACTTTGGCAGTAAACTTGCGCGGCATGTCTGGATTGTATGATAAATACGGTTTTACAAATTACAAGTACAAAGTGCACGTTCCATAAATCATTCATGTGTTTTTATCACTGATAATGTTTACCTTAAACATGAGAGTAATAATTTGTCGTCCACTGTATGTGTTCTCAATGACGGCTGTATGCATCGAGCAATCTCGCTTACCACAACACCAATTACCACTGTAACTAACCAGTTCATAAAGGTGTACCATGTAAAGGAAATCTATTTACATATAGTCAAAGTAAAATATTTAGATAACAGAAAAAATATATAATTTCGCATTGAATCGATGTATTAATGGACACACATCTGAGAATGACATAATTTGCAGTATATACTAACCTTAAATATGGGTTTGGGATGGTATCTTCGGCTGTGGGAAACCACAGAGCCGAGGAATACGAATATCCCCCATGTCAGTCCAACGGTTACACCAGAATAAGCACCCCTGAAAGTATATGTAAGCACCTTTAAATCTCTGTGCTATTTGTTTTCACATACTCAAAAACGATTATTTATATTCATTAAAGTTAATTCATAAGTCCATGGTCACGCAACAACGGTCAAATCAGTATGAGAAATATAATGACAAACATGAAGTAATTATATCAGGTGTTTAAAAAAAGAACGGCACAGCTTACCCTAACCACATACGACATCTGCTTCCAGGTCATGGTCGCGTGAACGGGAAAATGCGAAATTACTGTTAAGGTGTGGACAATCGGTGATATTACTTTTTTCATATGCCTGGTAGAAAACCGACCAAATACTAGTAATCTGCCACTCATGAATAGACGGCGGATTTCTTTTTCTTTTTATATGGTGGAATATTCGTCTAAAATTAATGCGCAGTCCCTCAAGAAAATATGACTCCACTCTATATTTTTCCTGTGCGGCCTGGCCTATTTATTTACTAAGCAAGTTTAAAAAAATCAGTGTTGAAAATCGTTTACTTACCACGTGTTGGCTCTAGGAAAGCACATGCCCAGTGTGAACGCGCCAAGTACGGGACCTCCTGTTACACCAATTACTTTAGAAGTAATAACGATTAAGGTACCAAGGTAACGAATTCCAAATGCCAAACCAATGACAATAGTGCCAAATACAAACGCTTTTGAAGAAACAAAAATGAATTAGTGTATTAAATCACGAAAATAACAATTCATTTATAACGATTTCCCCCCACTATTGACCAGTACGTACTAATTATTTTGGATATCACCGTGTCCTTTGCATCATTTTCGGAGAGAGTTTGTTCGGATTGTTTGCTTCTCCATTTCCGCCAGGGAAGGATCACATCTCTAAGAAGCACTGCAACAGCAGCGTTCAGACCAGAGGAGACTGAACTATGGTATATAAAACGCATTACCGTTAATTACAATGTATTCATTTTGTAATAAAACCACATGATATGTTGATCGTCGTGTCATAATTTGTTTTCCAGTTTGAATGGGTTCAGTATTATGTTATAATGCGGGCTTCAGTCTAGTGGTAAACTGCATATTGTAACTGCGGGTGAAACTCTGAGACACAACGTTTACATGTAGAGTAACAACGTAATAGTATATTGGGGTTTGTGTTCTTCTCGGATGAATTCTTTTTGTGATACCCATGCAGAAGCTTATATTGAAATCCCATCTAATTACCATAGTGTGACGTAATGACAGAAATGTAACATGTATTAGTTAAGTGAAAATACTTTTCAGTATTATAACCATCAAAAACAGGTAATCATTTGTCTACCGTAAAACCAATGGGAAGTTTGTGATTAACAGTTTACTGTCAGGCTTGTTATATATTCATGTTATACCAAATAACCAACTACGTGCCTTAGTGATCCTGCGAATAAACATGAGACGAACAAGCCTTGTATACCGTATATATGACCCAGGTTAGCACTGACAAAGTACACCAATATCTAGTAAAAACAATACAATGTAATGATGAGTCATTATTTCACAAAAGTTGTATACAATTTGTGGAAGCGGAAACTGAAACTTGCGATGCGATGTATGAGGTTTTTTTGGACATCTACTTACCTGATCTGGGGTTGCATAGTTCGGTACATATCTGGTGTCTATCATTGTTATTGTGTTATCTAGAACATGTGAGTAATATTCATTATTGCAGTTCAGTTCTCAGTATCGGCGTCCAGATTGTTCACAGAATGTCACCATACGTTCAGTTGTTATTTAAAGTCAGTATTATAAACCAAATATTAAAATAATTATTAATTACTTACTCCAGATATATGTGCTGTTTATTGCTGGAAAAAGCGGCATGATGTCGTCTGTGCAATAAATGGGAAAACATATCATACAATACAATACAATACAATACAATACAATACAATACAATACAATACAATACAATACAATACAATACAATACAATACAATACAATACAATACAATACACATACGAAATTCGTTGGTTAATCAATGAGACTAAATGAATGATCACATCGAGAATAAGTATATGCTTATGTATTCTCATTGATAATTTGACCATATAGTTAATAACTTACTATCGTAGTATGCGAACAGCACAAGTCCAGTGATTATCGACATAACAATAAGGAATATAAAAAACGGGATGGCTAGTAAAAATGTTCTGTGAATAGAACAAACATATCAACACCCAAAAAAAGTAATATATTTCCTGTTTGCTTTGGTCATTGTAACATTGTTTGATGTAAAAGACAATGTTATATTAGAACATGGTAACATATTAAAAAGACACTAATTTATTATAACATTCATTTAATTAAAAAGAGATATATAGATTAGCATGAAACATCCTTTGAAATTAACTTGACAATAACAGTGTTAAGTCTATCAGGGTAATATTCACGTTAATGTATTACTTTTGTGCATGTCGTGTTGACTTTGAAGCAAGAATTCTTTGCACTGCGCCTTGGTTTGTACTTCCAGCCATGTGCTTAAAAGCCTGACCAATCATCAAAGACCAAAATGAATATCGGAGAGTTGGATCAGGATCCCATCTGTAAACAAGTTCATGCATTACTGTATACAGCACTGATATCAGTAGAAACTCGCATTGGACATAACTATCCTCCTAGGTTGTCACGTAAATGCTAATGAGACGAACTGAAAGTTTAAATCATAGCTGCTGAAAAAATATACAATATGTTACTATCAATAGCAAAGGTATATTTATACACCAAATGAAATTCCATTTGAATCATTTTTGCTTAACTACAAAAACGGGACATATACCTAAACACATAAAATAACACATCAATCATGAAGAAACTACAGTGTGGGCTCACAGTTGAATAATGTTTGAGCTTATCATTTTATTTGTTATACTCTCCCTATTGGATACTATAGAGCATAATGTCGATGACACACATTAACATATGATACCATTCGGTTTACTTAACTCACTCAAATAAATCAAGTCTTCCATGCTCATTGTTGTACGCCATGACTTCTGCCATACCCCCAGCTTTAATCGTACCAATAACCAGGACAGCTAGAACAGATGACGTCATAATGATACACTGAAACACATCAGCCCATATAACTGCCTTCATGCCACCCTGAATGAAATAAAAACAATGGTTAAGGCAAAGGTACCACACATACATATATAAATAGATAGCAATAAATGTGTAGTAATAGCTTAGATGAATGTCACAAAGCAACCGTTTTGCGTTGTATGCATAGAATAATACATATATTCATCTTGAAGGCTAGATCATCAATCATGTGATGTTTCCCGCACACACCGAGCTGGCTTTATAAGTTATAACAACGTAATAAACTCGCTATGGTGGTGTGGAAATTAGAATCTAGACCAGTGAACAACTTGAACGGAAACTTATTTTCATTTGTATTCGACTGATTATTATTCACATTGTGGTTATTGTATAATTATACTTTATAAAAATATTATTTTTACTAAACACAAATACCAAAACTAGAAAATTATACTCACTATGGTAGTATAGAAAGTACAAATCAGGCCAGTGGCTAATACTGTAATCCAGTATTCAACTCCTTGAGCTTGAAAATAAATATTTGAACTGAACACATTATCCATGCACTAGTGTTACACTGAAAGCGCGGTGGTCGTCGCGCAGCGCGTGTTCGAATTTCATGTAAATAAACAATGCATTTTACACGCGTTGTATACGTCGCCATGAGTCCCATATCGAACAGGATGCGGCACGACGGCTGCCGCCCTTGAAATATTCAGGAGTGGTGGGATTCTTGCAATAAACCACTATTCCCCAAAACTGTACTTTGGCGGTGATGTGTGCTCCAAAAATCGCAAATATATTGTTTCTCGTTGCTAGGGAGTGAGAAAGATGTATTTTAATATATATCTGTATCTAAATACCTGCTTGAAATGCAATAGCTGGTCCTACCAGTGTTGTTGCCATGTATATAATTACCCACAACAGGAACAATGAGGAAATCATGATTCGAATAATAAAGTGAAACCGCAGACTGAAATACTGAAAAAAAAACCAAAACCGATTGTAGTGCACTGAATATCACATTACTACAAGTCAGACGTCTGATTCGTGTTTCTGGTCATTACATTAAATTTACCTCGTATATGCTGATAATATCAAGTCCACGGACAAGAGGCACAAAGGTGAAGGCGCAGATAACATGCCCGATAACTATACCCACTGTACTCAAAATGAACTGAATACCGAACAGGAAACTCTCTGCGGGCAATCCTAATATAGCTATCGAGGATGCTAAAGAAACAAAATAGGAAGTTGCTATCGGCAGGGCTCTCATTTTGCGATTTGCAAGTAGATATCTGAAATGATATGTATACAAGTATTTAGTAGCCAATCAACAAACTTACAAGAATGCACATGACATTGCTGAAAAAAATCATTTCAAAACACAAATGATTGAAAATATGGTCGGACTAGTTGTAGTTGTTTTTCAGATTGAAATATGCGTTTTTTAAGCGTCACTGCCGTCTTTTATACTTGTTTTTGAAAAAGAAGGCTTCCGATTAGGAGGAAATCAAAATCCTTGGAAATATCAACACACGATTTATATGTACATTAGAAGTATGCAGTCAATCATAGACACATCAACCGTTGTATAAATTGCCCACTTTTGCAGATAATACTAGTAGCTTCACGGTGAGTGGCTTTCGCGGTAAGTGGGTTTCGTATCAGGTGGGTTTCGTGGCGAGTAGGGCTTTGTCTCAGTACCTGGTCCTATCATCCTTGTTGAGAATTAAAGTTTAATGTTTCTTGAACAACTGGCGCTATTCTGGGAATACCATCCTGCCGGAGTTCCAAAATAAGACCCATGCTCTGATAATGCCTCTAGTTTCAAAGACCAATAAACATTACCGTTATGATCTTATAGGTGTTACAAAAGATAGTTGAATATTGTTTATTGAAATTAATAATCCCCATAACCGGTTTCCAATATAAATAAATTGTGGTACGTTACAAACTGTATAACTCAGTCTCAACAATGAAATATTTACATTATTACTAATGCATTGCAATACAACTAATTCAAATTGAAAGAAATTGCAATATAAAATATTCCATCAGTATTACTTCTCAAAGGCATATTTTGCAGCCAGTGTTATTTACGAAAATATTTGTTTATAATTTTATAAACTTGCTTGGCAATATACCCACCCCAACGGTTTTAGGTTCATGCGCTGCAAGTTACAGAGCATGTTCATTTGTACCTAAGTGGCCATCCCCCAGCAAATAATTAAGCCAATGCGTTTTTGATATTGAAATCGCGAAACTATCCGTTTTTAGACAATCTGGAATATTCGAATTATTAAAGGAAGTACAGGACGTCGAAGCTGAAATAACCAAGAACCAACACATACCAAAAATCTCAAAAGTGAATTTTCGTGGTGTATTTTAAGTCTAATCGGACCGGAAGTAGGAATTTGTTAGTACCCAAAATATCATATTTTAGTATAAGTTAGTAACAACTTGTCAATAATTATGAGATTATTTGTAAGCATAAGATTGTTATGTGAACTCCGTTCATTAATGGAATACTGGGCGATGACGCGGTTTTCAGGGCCTAACTGATTCAGACTTCAGTACCAACCTAATTACTTGACAGTGTGTGACTGTTATATACAGCCCAGAACACGTCAGAATAGTACACAAATCAGCAAATGTCAGTTACCCATAACAATGAGAGCCGGCCACAGAACCAAAACTGTCAGCCTTCGCCACCCACAGCATCGATATGATTTTACATTACATAGAAATGAACACTAAATGCAGCTATCTCAGCCAGCAATCGAATCAGCAATCTTCATGATTGATGTAACTGGTATTTCTACCTATTTGCTTACTGGTCTGTAAGTGAATGTTGTCAAGTTCGAAAGTGTGTTTTAACGTACAGTGACGTGAACATTATTGCTACAATTTTGGGCTTGAACATGTTCTATATTCACCCAAAACAACAACGAACCTGAAAAAAAATCTGTGTCTATAGAAATCAAGTCTTATCTCCCTTGCGTTTCCGATCGAGGTCGGGCCAATCTACCATGATTGTTTGCTTATCATCAATTCAACCAAGCTGTTAGATAGGTTGCTTATTAGAGGTGACCGGGAACCAAAATTTGGGACGTGAATCCCTCTGACGACGAAAACGATGATAATAACCAAGGGGTGGGAGATTTTTTACCTTGGCGATAGCGACCCAATAGATTCCGGGACACGCAGTGATCAGTGAGGATTCAAATGACACACACTAGGATTGCCCTTATTACCAAACGCTTCAGCGTGGTATTAAGAGTTTGTTTTCAGGGGTGGGTGATACCAAGA